CCAACTGTGGCCAAGTCCAGCTTCGGCCGTCGGCGGGCGATTTTGTGTTTTTATTTTGGTTAAGAACAAGGGTGGAAATGGCCTCGCGGCACAGTGAGGATCGACCCGCTCGTCCGTCCACTCTGGTTCGCTCGCCGTTGTGATGAACTGGAGTCGGTCGGAGCTCGGGGAACGGATTCAGGAACAAGAGCCTCGGTGTGCGTCTGACGCTCCCGTCTTGTCGTCCAGATTAAATGCTGACATGGCGCTCAGATCGCGGCCGCTGCATTCTTTTTTTGTGGTTGCTTTCTTTTCACGCAAAAAAAAAGTCCAAACACTCCTCGGAAATAGGTTGATGCAGAATGACAAGACATGATCGTAAATTGACGGAGCTGCAGGTCCTGGAGGGTCTTCTCCTTCCCTCCAAATTCTGCCCCTGGATTTTTGGCTGAACGCCTCTCAATTTTGGTGTGGGGTCGGTACGTACAACGGCCGCCACACCCACACGCAGCTCACGAGATCCCTGCCAATAGGACATCGTAATTCGGAATTGGCAGGCACTTGGCAGGGTCCATCGCCTGCGCCACCAATGACGGCGCTCCAATCAAGTGGGTCATCAACAGCCCAAATCGACCCATGTCTTGCTTGGACTTTGAAATTCTCCCACCGTTCAATTTCCCCTGAATGATGAAAAAAATCGGCGACCTTTTGTACGACACGAACTTGGACATCTCGCAGCAACGAATCACATAATGGAAGTCATCCTTCGTCAGCCAGCCGTACTCCATTTAGAAGCAATCATGTCGCTGAACTGTTTCCCTCGGGACTTTCGCTGAGCCCTCAGGTTCAGGGCTTTCTCCTGGGAAAGGGGTTGGGTGAGTTGGTGCCGAAAATTCGAGAAAAAAGGTCCAAATCACGCGTATCAAATGAGGTAACGTCCTGACAGATACGGTCGCTTCCAAGCACCAATAATAAGTAATTTCGAAGCAATCGGTAGCGTCCATGCGATGCGGGGCGACACGAGTCGGAGCGGCCTGGGGATCCCAGCAAGTCAAGCTCTGTTCAACTGAGGGCAGAGGTTCCGTTTAACGATTCCGTTATGGTTGCAGACTTTACGGATACAAAGGCGCCAGTGGACGGCGCCTCCATGGTTGGATTGGAAATGACCCCCGACCATTGACCAAAAAGATGAAGGCACCGCCCCTTTTTGGCAGGGTGTGAAGCTTGTGCTGCGCTCCACGATCTGCTGAGCGTGTGCTGGGCAGCCTGGGCTGTCAAAGACGCGCCAAATTCTCGGGTGCGTCGTGCAGTCCGCTCGTGTTCGTTCGACTGCTGCTGTGCTGTGTCTTTCCCCCTCCAGCTCTCCCGTCCCTCCCTTCCAGTCACTGGTTCACCATCCAGCGTCATCGTCGCTCTTTAATTTATTTTTGCCTCTCGTGGTGATCTTGTCGCCGTTACGAGTTGCTTCTATACACTCTTTTACATCTATTTTTTCCTGCTTTGCAGCCATTGCTCAAGGGCAAATCTGACCCGTGTCACTCGCTAAATCACGATCCCTACCTACATCAAAGAAAACCAGTCGCCGAAGGAGCCATATTCGGGGATACCGTACTGCGCATTTGTTTCGCCATAGGCGACGGACCTAACTGATTCTCCGATCGTCACGCCCAGGGCTGTATTTGTAGGTGCAGTGGTGGATGTTCAAATTCTGGAAGAGCGATCAAGTTTTCTAACCTTGTTGTCCGCGGTCAGGCTTCCTTTTATTTTCCCGACGCCAACATGCGGTCGTCGACCCTTAATGTGGTCGCCGCCGCTGCCGTGGCCCTTGCCGGCCTCAGCAGCGCGGCGAACGTGACCGAGTGGAAGTCGCAGTCCATCTACCAGGTCATGATCGATCGGTTTGCGCGGACAGATGGCTCGACGACACACGAATGCGAGCTGCACAAGTTCTGCGGCGGTACCTGGACCGGCCTCATCAACAACCTCGATTACATCCAAGGTAATATCCCCTCTCTCTGACTCGCAGATAGTGTACCAACACCATGCGTAGGTATGGGCTTCACCGCCATCCAGATCAGTCCCGTCATAAAGAACATGGAGGACGATACCACAGTTGGCGAGCCGTACCACGGGTACTGGTCTGAGGATCTTTTCGCGATCAACGAGCACTTCGGCACCGCAAGCGACCTCAAGAACCTTGCCGCTGAGCTACATAAGCGCGATATGCTGCTGATGGTGGATGTTGTGGTAAACCACATGGCGCAAAAGTTCGACAACGTCATTCCCCCCAAAGTCGACTTTACCGAGTTCAACCCCTTCAACAGCAAGGACTACTTCCACCCGTACTGCAACGTCACCATGTGGGAGAACACGACGGACTACCAGAACTGCTGGCTCTACCCCTTCGGCGTTGCGCTCGCCGATCTCAAGACGGAAACGCCCAAGGTCCAGGAGCTCTTTAACGGCTGGGTCAAGGATCTTGTGTCCAACTACTCCATCGACGGCCTGCGCATCGATGCCGCCAAGCACGTCAACGATGACTTCCTACCGTCCTTTGTTGAAGCTTCGGGCGTCTTTGCGTTCGGTGAGGTCCTCACCGGTGTAACGGAGGACATGTGCCGGTATCAGACCAAGGGCCTCCTGCCCGGCATGCCCAACTATCTCGAGTTCTACCCGCTCAATGCGGCTTTCAACGGCGGCTCCTTTGTCGACGTCGCACGGATGCGCAACGAGGCTGCCACCGGTTGCAACGACACCTTCGCCCTGGGCTCGTTCATCGAGAATCACGACATGCCCCGTTTCCCCAGCCTGAACAACGACCTCGCTCTCGCCAAGAATGTCCTCACCTACATTATGTTGACCGACGGCATCCCCACCGGTATGTTTTCTCTCTTCCCGTTTATCGTGTGTTCACAACATCCTCACTAATCGATCTTCTCCCTCAACCAGTCTACCAGGGTCAGGAACAGCACTTCAGCGGCAGCGAGACACCCGCCAACCGCGAGCCGCTGTGGCAGTCGGCCTACGACAAGACGGCCCCACTCTACGTGCTGACGGCGACGCTCAACAAGGTGCGCCAGAACGCCATGAAGTTGTCCGACAACTACCTCGAGACGGCCGCCGAGACCCTCTGGGCCGACGTCAACCACTTCTGCCTCAAGAAGGGTCCCTTCGGGACCCAAGTCGTCTTCTGCATCAATAACAAGAGCAGCAAGGGCGACAGCTACGAGGTCAGCATCGGCGGCTTCCAGCCCAACGACAACGTCGTTGAGGTCATTGGCTGCACGACCGTTACGGCCGACGCCACCGGCAACGTGACCATGTACATGGGCATGGGCGAGCCCAAGGTTTACGTGAACAAGGCGACCCTCGACGGGACCGGTCTCTGCACCCAGACTACCCCTGATGGACCCAAGGCCAACAAGAACGGAGCACCGAGCGCGTTGGGTGTTACCGGTGGGGTGGTATTTGCCGTCGTTCTCGGGTGGGCTACGCTTTTCCTTTAGCTTTGTTGGTTGGGGGAGGGATAAGATGGTAATATGTGGTGGAATCGATGTGTGTGTCGTGTCGTCAATTGTTTGGGATGTGTGTGTGCCATATTTGTATATATTATAAGATGCGGGGGGTTTCACAAAACGCTGGAAAGAAGTTTCCACGCTTCCTGTGTGTCTATGCCAGGTAGTTCAGTCCAACACTGCCAGCGTGGATATGGGCCATGAGAGGTCGAAGTGGATTTGGATACATTGTCTGTGTTCGGGCGGGTGGATGGGACTGTAGGCATAGGTAAGTAGCATTAGCCTTGTTTCCGTTGTTCTTGTTCACTTGACCGCTTTCTTTCATGACGTATTTTGTCGGTTTGGTGGTTGCGGTGGGTGGTGCACGTCTTTTTTTTCTCGTGGAACCGGTTTAGATACCTGCTTGATATTCCCAGTAGTCTCTTTTAATATATGTGTTTGATGTTGTGAAGCCTCGTGTATGTCTCTCTCCGTGCACCCAACTCCGATTCATTTGCAGATACCTACTGTAGTTAGTTTGTCTGTCAACCAGCCATGCAGGGCAACTACGACGCCATCATGCTCGCAAGTTTCGGGGGAAGTCAAATCAAACCTGTCCAACAGACCAGCACGTATGTTTACATGTAGGTAGGTACCTTACCTACCTTAGTCTATTCTGCCGTGTGAGGGTGGTACATGCATACAACTCGCGCGAGCCGGGGGACACCAGCATGTGTTCTGGTACACAAGCACGACAGCAAAACAAGAGTGTCTTACCGGGAGGTCTTACAAAGCCAAAGCCCGCGACGGAGCTAAAGGTGAACCAACCCATCGACCAGTGTCTCGGGACTTGCCATATGGTCGGGAAACACAAGTCCCCAGTCCGGTTTTTGCGGCCGAAAGCTGATCAAGGTAAAGTGGGTAGGTAGTTTTGCATACATGTACCAGCCAGCCAGCAAGTCATGCGTGTTCAATCTGTTCGGTTTCTCCTTCTATCGATGTCTCTCAAAACGGGGCTCAAAAAAGGGAACTAATTACGCACCTTATGTCGGGTCGTAGGAGCAAAAACGAGGGTACCATTCCGAGTGTTTCGACAGGGAAGAACCAGGCCCCTTGCCGAAATAAATCACCTCCCTACCTGCACTAGCCTCATCACTGAGTGCCAGACATAACAACATAACATTACAGTAGAGGCAGTGGATTTCATGGTCTTCAGGGTGTGTTAGCTGTCGGGTTTTTTCTTGGTCAGTGTCGCATATTTCATGCTGGCCGCTGGGGTTGGTTGACACAAAAGTGTCGTGTCTTTTTTTCCCAGTAAAGAAGAAAGGCAAGGACAGAAACAAAAGAAAGAAAATTAGAAAGATATCGGGTAAAGAGCGTAACGACAAAAAATATCCATCTCCAACTCACACGCCGTTATCGTCCGTCCTACTATCACTCTGGTACTATCGAGAAGATGAGTAACATTTTTCCGTCTACTTACCAAAAAAATTGTTGACCAGTTAAAAAAGAACAGCGTATTTGTTTCTCTCCCGCCGGGAATTGAACCCGGGTCCCGAGCGATAGTCTTCGGTCCTTGAAGGGTGGCGGTGACAAGCTCATATACTGACCACTATACTACGGAAGATGTTTTTCATGTTGCAAGTGTGGACACTTGCCGTAGCTGGTTGTTCGCTGCTGGCTGCCGGTTGTTGACCATGTGGGTTGGTAAGTGGGTATATATTTGATCTTTGATTTTGTGTGCTGATGTGGGTGGACTCTGGACGAGTCAGTTCAACCAAGTTGATTGGATAATATTGTAAAAGGCAAAAGCGAAAGAAAATGCAAGATAGGGAGATTCATCAGTCTTATCGTCATTCTTCATTCTTACTTATGTTTTATCCATAAGATACAAAACAATTGATCATTTAATTGTACAGTATCTTTGGTCGTTTCTTCTGAAGTATGTTAGTAATAGTTTTGCTCGCTTCAGTCGGTTTTCTTTTGTTGTCTTTCTTCCTCACTCTCTCGCGCACTCCATCAGTTAGTCCCTCGGTCACAGTCACTTAATCACCCACCCTCTCCTGTCCAAGTTGTTCACTTCCTGCCTGACCTTAAAGCCATTAGGGTTAGAGAGGTTATTGTCTGTTACCTTCCACTCGCAATGATGGTGGCTGGCTCAACGAGTCAACTACCCGTGATGAATCGCGTTGGTATTACACCGAAACAAATGGTAGGTCGATCATGAGATATATTTTTGAAACACATGATTATTTGATTACTTGGTCGCATTCTTGCTAAGCCATGTATCTGCATCATGTTATCTACCGGGCATTCTTATGAGACCATGTGATGATTTAACATCAGACTGCGGTGACATGAGCTGCTGTTGCTCTATTGAAAGGGACGGGAGAAGGGGTAACCCTAAGAAAAGTTAGGGGGCAGAGAGGGAAATCCTCCGTTGAGACTTTCATCATTTCATGACGAAGCGTGCCTACGAGATATCCCAACCACCAACTCTTTCTATTTTCTTTTTTTCTCGATTCTTCTAGAACAGTACCTGTATTATTAATAAAGCGGCAATTAGTTCTTCAACAAGTCGAGGATCGCCAAACTCAAATTCTTTCACACGAGTAACACAATACCAGCGCCGTTATGTTGTCAAACCTTGCCTGCCCTTGTTGGTCAATTTCTGTTCTTCTTGATTCCCCACTCTGAAGTCCACTCCGGCCTCTTTACAAGTGGAAATGCTAGACCCCATCACACAACAAGAATCCAGATAAACAGGTTGTATAGTGTAGCGGTTATCACCCCAGATTCTGATTTCTTTCTAGAGAGAAGTTTATCTTCTGGTGACCCCGGTTCGATTCCGGGTACGACCTAGGTACATTTGATAATACTATCTATGTATTGGATATTGGTTGATTTATTTTTGTTCTCCGCTTCTCCTTTTTTAGTCATGTTTGTGCATGACTGCATGTATATGTGTGGTGGAACCTCCCTCCCCTTTTAGCTTGGAGTGGGTGGGACTCGACGATGTGACCCATCATGGCCCTCTTCTGTGTAGCTATATCTGTGAAAGATAATACTGTTATGTATCCAGCAGACTTAAGATTTCTCGTGCCGTCTTGTCCCGTTCCAGGTCTTGCCACCGATCAGTGATGAAGTGGCAAGTTGTTCAGCCCAGACCGAGGGACGCAGATTCCCGGAACTTGTTCCCCAAAAGGATGGCCAGATTCATAAGGTATGTAGATCTTCTTTTTACCGTGCCACCGGATCATATGGCGGCTCTCAAATATCTAGCCGCATCTGCGCTGTCGGAGATCCAAATGCGACACCTGAAGGGGTGCCTCCGTTTTATCCGGCAACATGAGGACACTCTGGTAATTCGCGAATTTAACCCCGAGGTCACCAGCCGCCCCAAGCTCCGTACCGATAGTAGCAGTGGGGACCGGGGTCTTGTCTATGCGGTCATACGCAACGATATATATAGGTAGGCATATAGCTCCCCCAGATATAGGAAAGCTTCTAGATTAGTTATTAGTATCGTAGCCATGCTCCTGTCTTTGCAAAGGCCGGCGTCAACACCAACTGTCTTCCAAACACAAATCGAAGTTATTTTTCAGGGAATAGATGAGGTGAGATGCGCCTCGCCACGGTCCTGTGTGCTCTTGCGAGCCTCAGTGACACTCTAAGATCGGCAGCTGCTCTCGCGACTCCGACCGCCCAGGAGAAGGATATTCCTTATGAAGGCACTCGAACGCCAAAGCGAAGGATACCGCCGTCACACAGACTCCACGAGAGACATACGCCAGAAAACCTCGAAGCATGGGTGAGACGGGAACCTGCCGACTCCAGGGCGATACTTCCCATACGGATCGGGTTAAAGCAGTCAAATCTTGATACGGGTCATAATTTGTTGATGGATATGTAAGAGACTCTCTCACTTTTTTTTTTACGAGAACGTAGGATGCAAGATATTCCCCAGGATGCTGGGGATGGACAGAAATGGGACCTTATCCGCTAACACAACTTGAATCAAATCACCAGATCAGATCCCAAATCCCCGAACTATGGAAAACACCTCACTCTGGAAAAGGTCACAAGTTTGTTTGCGCCCACCGATACCTCGGTCGACAAGGTGCGGAGCTGGCTCATATCGGCTGGCGTAAATGAAACAAGACTATCTCAGTCGGTAAACAAACAGGTAATTAAGCCGATTCTCTTTCAGAACAGTCACCGTACTAATGATACCCATTTGGCAGTGGATACAATTTGACGCCACGGTTGATGAAGCAGAAAGACTGTTGCTGACAGACTACTACGTCTTTGAGCATGTCGAAGCTGGCGTCAGGAACATTGCTTGCTCCGAGTAGGTGCCTATCTATCCTTGTGCTGTTATTGTGCACGCGATGTCGTGTTAACCAAATTCACCTAGGTACCATGTCCCGCACAAAGTGGCCGAGCACATCGACTACATTACGCCAGGAATTCGACTCATCTCGGCCGGGAACCTAAACGGGGCAGGCCTTAACAGGAAGAAGGTCCGCCGGCGGAATAAGCGTCGACAGCAGCCGGAAACCAGACACCAAAACTCTCATTCGAACAAGAGGCAACAATTGGAGTCCGATATTGCTCACTCACAGATCGAAGAATATGACGAGAAATGGTTCAAGATTATGGGGCCTTGCACTTATGAAGTCACACCAGACTGCGTCAGGAGTGAGTCCTGACTGATCCTTCAGGCATTCCATTTGAAGAAGCAAGTCTAACGGAGCAAACAGATCAATATCATATTCCAAACGGTACCAAAGCATTCCCCGGAAATGAGCTTGGTGTATTTCAGTCTCTAGACCAGCATTACAACCAGTGGGATCTCGACATGTACTGGAAGTACACGGCTCCGTACGTCTGCTTTCTAATTATCCAGTCCACATTTACAAATTCCTACCTGCTCATCACGACGACAATGCTGATATATACCGTAAATACGGTTAGATACATCCCCAAAGGCACACATCCGACATTACGCTCCATCAACGGCGCCCTCGGCCCAGCCGCCGAGATCAGCAGTGCTGGCGAGGAAGCCGATCTGGACTTCCAGGTCGCCATCCCGCTCGTCTTCCCTCAAACCACCGTGCTCTGGCAGACCGACGACGAGTGGTATCAAAAGGACCAGATGCGTGCCGAGACAAAGTACACGGGCTTCTTCAACAGTAAAATTGCCATCTCTTACCTAGCTACCCATCAAGGATCAAATACACCAAACTGACTGACACAAACCCTAAACAGCCTTATTCGACGCCATAGACGGAAGTTACTGCAGCCTCAACGTCTACGGCTACTCGGGCAACTGCGACACCGACGACTGCCGCGACCCCGTCTACCCCAATTTGGCCGACAGCCCTGAAGAAGCGTACAAGGGTCCCCTAATGTGCGGCGCGTACGAGCCGACCAACGTGATCAGTATCAGTTACAGCGGCTTCGAGCACGCGCTACCCAAAAACTATCTGCGGCGCCAGTGCGTCGAGATCATGAAGCTTGCGCTGCAAGGCGTGACGGTGGTTGAGTCGTCCGGGGACTACGGCGTTGGGGGGAGGAGGTCGGACCCCAAGGAGGGATGTCTGGGCCCGGACAGGGACGTGTATTCGCCTAGGCTGATGAGCAATTGTCCGTATGTGTTGAGCGTGGGGGCCACGGCTTTGGTTAGTAGGGATGGTGGTGGTGGTAATGGGAGTCGCTGGGGTGATGGTGGTGACTTTCGAGAAGATAAGGAGAGAAGAGGTCGTGGCGGCGGTGGTGGTGGTAGTCATGGTCGGCGGCCGACGGAGTCACAGTTCGCTGAGCGAGCGCCAACCAGCTTTGCGTCAGGAGGCGGGTTCTCAAATATCTACTCTACGCCGCGCTGGCAGAAGAGGCATGTCGACGGGTACCTGCGTCGCGCCAACATATCGCATCTGGGTTATGACGGCGACGGCGGCGGTAGCAGCAACAGCAGTAAGGAGCGGCGGGGGAGGCTGTTCAACCGAGCCGGTAGAGGATACCCGGATGTGGCGGCCATCGGGGATAATTATCGAGTCATCACAGGCGGGTATTCACAGAGGATGGGCGGGACATCAGTAGCGGTGCCTATTTGGGCGTCAGTCCTGACGCTGTTAAACGAGGAGAGGTTGGCGGTTGGGAAGAGCACGATTGGGTTTGTGCATCAGGTTTTTGTGAGTCTTGTTCAACCCTCACAGTGCCAGTATTGACACTAATGGAAGGAGGGAACAGTATCAACACCCGGAAGTGTTCACCGACATCACCACAGGGTCGAATCCTGGTTGCGGAGGTGCTGGCTTTCAGGTCAAAGAGGGCTGGGATCCAGTGACTGGACTAGGGTATGTTACGGATAATCGAATGAGTCCCTGCATGGGAGAGAGAGAAACTAATTGGAATTTAGAACACCGATATATCCAAAGTTATTGGAGCTGTTCTTGAGGCTGCCCTGATGACAGGTGGTGCCACACTTGTCTCGGGATGGCGTTGGCAAGTAGTAAGTTGCCGGATGCCATGAGGCCAAAAGGACAGAGGAGTATGAACCAGCCAAAGGTCGTCCAAGTTATCTTCCCAATGCCTGGAGGACTGTAGACTTCTGGGGATATGTGCCAAGCCTCGAGTCGGGTTGCGTCGGTCCCCCATCCGTCGTTAGCTGAATGCCACACGAATTGCAGCCGGACTCGCGACATACGGTTGGGCGACTTTATGTTCCTCGCGGATCCTATCACCCAAAATATGCCGGGGACTTCGGTGAGCTTGGGTGATACTCCAATAGAGCTAAGCCCAGCAGTCAAGTTGAATCATGCAAATCGACTTCAAGCAAGTTGGGTCCTCATGAGGAAGCAAGCAAGTCAAGTTGGGGGTACTACTTGACTTGATTGACTCAACGGCAGCTCTGGGTTCAATGACGTGACTCCTGATATGCCAAATTGTCAGTCCAGGGGTTGATTTTTCATCAATTATTCCCATCACTTCTGGCTTCTGGTTTTTTAATCATTAACCCAAACACCCAGCACTCACACATCTCCCAGCATGGCTGTCACTGATACGATGAAAAATTCTGGAAAAGTGGCCAAGAGATCTTACAGATATGTCATTTGATTGTCGGTTAGGGCACCTGTTCAACCATGTACTGATATCCTTTCAAGCAGTACATCCTTAACACCCTCTGATACAAGGACGAGAGCTCCTCGTTGTCTCTTCCTTCATCCACCAAGACCTCATGTGCCACATGGAGTGGTAACGTTGTTGAAGCAGCACCAAACAGCTTGAACTTCTCAAGTGTGAGAAATTTCATGCTCCGGAGAATCAGAGACGACAGGTGGATTACGATTTCCGTGGAAATAAGCCTCTCGAGGCGAGGATCGAGTTGCCCGCGAATGGAAGGGAAGAAACATGTCAACTGGGTGATGTGTCGGGCGCAGACAATGTGGAACGCCCAGATGTGAGTGAAGAGGTTCGCGACAGTAAGGCTTGGGAAATGGATATCTGTGTCCTCCTCAATAGGACACAATATAAACTGGTAGAGATCTTGGTCGCCGTCCTTGATAGCCTCACTCATCCTCACCAAGCCATTGAGTGACTGCGAGAGCTTCTCGAAGGCCGTGAGGGCGAGTGTATCAGCCTGTGCTTTCGGCATTTCTTTCAACTCCTCAATCATCCCCAGCGTTGACGGCAGGGTAACGACCTCACTGAACAGATCTTGGAGAGGTGTAGCACCTGAAATGCTAAATGGTGCCATGAGCCAACCTTCTTCTGCGAGGAAGGTGTTCTGGCGGGACAACAAGGACTGTATGAACTATAAAAAAAATAAGAAGATGAGGGGCACTAATGGGGGACAGAC